GATTTTGATTTTCACTTTCGGTGAACTTTTTGCCTTGTATTTGAACGAACTCCTCCTAGGGAATTTATTGGATCTGCTTCAAAATTGGTCAGTACAGTCAAAAAACATTGCTGATTAAAAGTTGTGCTATTTGTGACTGTACATTGAAGGGCGTGTCTGTGGCGTGCCGTCAAAGTTGGCCAGATTGAATCGAATGTCAAACTGTGATGCCATTTCTTGCATTCATACACATTTTTCTAGTCTACCAACCACTCAACATTCACACTCACATTCATGCAGAGGCTGCTATGAAGGGTGCCTACTGCTTATTCGGAGAGGTACAGAACTTTCTATCCAAAGCACAGGCTTGGGTGGTAGCAGGGTATTACGGTATACCAGGGTAGTTAGACATCCCAATGTTATTTCTAAATGCTGGTATCGTTTCTTGGTAAACTGTACAAATACGGTGTACGTGTTACATAATAATGCATCAGGAATGTGTGCTCTCACCTATTTGATTGGCTAACACAGCACCTTGCATAACAGTTGAGCCAGGTTCAACCCCCATTCCGTCAGTGGAGTGACCTTCTAATGACCAGGTGCCTACCAGACCTATGTTTGTCGGAGGACATGCCACATTACAGTAATTTCTGTGTTGATGTTAGCTACAGCAGAGGTTCCCAAACTTTTTTTCATGCCAAGGACCACCACAATAGACCATAGGCCACTATTTGAGTGAATATTAAGGAATCCCCTTAGCAAAAAAACGTTTTTTGTTACCATGTTGTTGTTAAGACTTCTAATAACTTAAAATATTCTATTCCTTTTGCTGGGGACCCCATGCGACCCTGTTAAGGCCCCCTGTTTGTTCCAAGCCACTGGGCTAGGGGGACACACAGTACAAGACTTCCAATGAAACCATCAAACACGTTTTATGACAAATGGGACGTCCCAGACAAGGTTGGGAGCATGGAGGGGGCGTGTGGACCCTTTCACAGCAGGGGGGCACTGAGCCTCCATAATGACCTTGTCAGTGTGTAGATTCTTGAAACTCACAAGAGAACGGGGCGGCCAATTTGACAGTGTGTGCACATGGCCTGAAGGAAGCCGATTGGTAAAGCAGATTGCTTGTGGAGTGTCTCCTCTTTGATTGTTGTTGTAGAGCTCGGAGAACAGGCCCGACCAGAGAGGACTCATTGCTGTGAAGAAGAATTAATGAAGACATTTGGGAATTGGAGCAGCACTGTAGTGTGCGTTTGTGCTAACATCTTGATTAGATGGTTTTGTGTGTGTGTGTTTGAGTGTGTAATTACTGGTCTCTAGTTTACTGCCAGCCCGGTGCATCTGTTACCTGACACCTTCAAAGCCCACAGATCCAAAGAAGTGGCGACCAGCAGCTTGTGAAACCAGATACACTTTGTATCCTCAGCTGCTGTTTACTAGTTCTGCAAGCACATCCACAACACACAGCGTGAGGAGTCGTAGAACATCCAAACTCACTCACACTGAAGCTGTGTAAACAAAGTATTGTAAAAATGGATTGCAGTTTAAACTCTCCATGAATTTACTGTAATGTGCAATTAAACATGGAGTGCTTTACTGGTGTGGACACTTGTGCAGCATCAGTCATGGCGACACATGGAGCTGCTGCTGGGAGTCTGGCTCTATCTGAGCCAGCCAGCAGGGAGGACAGTGCGATGACTAGTATTTAGGCTGCTGTCAGGCCACTGTGCTGATAACAGTGTGTGGGAGAGACAGTGGAAATAGACTGTCAGTCCTTCAATATGACTCCCATAACCACTGCAGCACCCAGAACACACACACACACACACGCAGGAAGGGGGTGAGATAAAGTACAGGGGAGTTGTTGTGGAGCTTTAAACAGGCACTCCAAATATTTTCTGCCCCTTGAGGGTTTCAGACAAAGACGAAATAAACATGTTTTTTCTCTGTGGTTTGGGACTGAACCACATCAACACAATGAAGTGCTGCTGTGAGAAGCAATTCTCTACTTTTAATTAGGTATTTCAGGTTTGGGACACTGAGACTGAAAAGTCTTATTTTTGTAGCTTTGGCATTCCTGTTGTGGTGGCGTTTTACTCACCACCTTCACTACAGGGGTGCGGCAGAGATCTAACACAGACTGGAACTGCGTATTGATGAAACATCGTATTGTTACTAGTGTTGGGGGTGCTCTCTCAATTAGGGTCTGTTCTAGTCAACTGCATTCTGAAACTAATGATAAAATAGGTTGGTAAGTAGGTCTGTTAGATTGTAGAAGACAGAGGCTTTATTTTTGTGGAACCATTCAGTGACCCCTCATGTCCTCTGTAGGCCTGTAGGTATTAAAAATATGTTTTAAGGGGTATGATCACCTAAACCAGGGGCTTATTTAAGGTGTGTCTGTTGGGCTGAAGCACGGCAATAACAAAGCTTCAAAACACTGCGCTATAGGTCAGGTCCCTAAATTTCAGCAATGATTTGGCTAACAGAATGTTATTATAGCCGACCAAGAATGATTACTAAAACTAAAAAAATTGTGTAAAAAAAAAAAAAAAATCCTGATTGGAAGGTTAAAACTTCTACAATCTCTTAATTTCTAAAGTGTCCCTGCTGGACACAAGATGTCTCCTACTTCACTGTAAAGTCCATTCTCAGTGGATGTGCACTGGTGGCTTCAAGTTTCTACATCACACTGTACAAGTTGAT